ATAATTATTGCTGTTTGGTGGTTTATTCATAGGTAAATGCCCCGCGAGTGCTTTCGGATATCTGTCGTAAATTCCGGCGACTTGCGACGGCAAGAGGGAATTTATCTGAGAATTTACAAAGCAACGAGTGGTGAATTTTATAGAACTATTACACGTGAGAAATTAATTTCTAACGAGTTCTAAAATGCGACAAAATATTCGAAAATAACTGAAGAGTATGGTTAAAATCAGAGAATATGTTATAGTAGATACTCTGTTTATTGGACTCGACATAGCGATCGGATGTATATCGCGGGCTCCTAAGATCTTGTGTTTTATGATTGGACCATGGTAGAAACGGTAAGAAAATCTGCTAGTCGGATTACTCCTACCACAAACATGCAAATACGTACATCATTTATACATGCCATAGCATTACTTGCAAGTCCCAGGCTACCCCTTTGGTTTCAGAAAATCTAGACGCCGAATAAATAATTAATCTCATTTGCCACTTTTCTGTTCCTTTTGGTCCTATGTGTAATAAAATACACATATTTCAAAATAACTTTCGTATTATGAAGCAAAATAAAAATTACACCCTTGGCTCAGCACAAATTGCGAAAAAATAATTTGAATTTTATGTAATAATCATTTAAACATCAAGTAATGGTTATCTTGGGCAGCAGACTCATAAACCAGAAAACAGATTAATTTAAGAGATTTCTTGCTTGTGTTCCTTAACGGAAAATGCATTAAAGAAAAATACATTTTTAGGTTACTGAATTATTCATCATCATTTTCATCATCAATCAAGAAAAGTCACTTAATTTTAAAAAAGAAATGAAGATTGCGGCAATGAAATGTCAGGCCACGAACAAATTATTAAATTTGAATATAAACTTACTGTTAAAATCAGATGAACGTTCCATTGTGTGTCGTACATTCTTCAGTTTGGTATTTTTTCAATGTTCTAACTGAAAATTCTCTATAAAAGTAAGCTTAAAGAATGCATTTTTGCAAATTATTTTTGAAAGATTTATATTTTTTGAAGTTACAACTATGCACATTAGTTAAGCGAGTTTCAAGAAGAGTAACCGGGAGATCTCTGTCCTAAAGAGGAAATTCTCATCCAACGGTCGTTATTCATTGAGATGCAGGCGGTGGGGGTGGAGGGAGATAAACGGCGTAGTTACAGAGGAGAGTTCGGAGGGGGGAGAGCGATCCGGTACTGCCTGTTTGCCCGAAGGCAAACTTGCGAGTTTATCTCCTTCTCTAGCACTCAGCTAGCCTTTCTTCTGTTCAGGCGAGCCTTGCTCTGAGCGACGCCCGCACAACCGTGCTTACCAGTTTGGGGGCACTTCTCCTTCGGAAAGTTGAACTCTTTGCTCCTTGAGCAGCGCCGGCAGTTTGGAGCGCTCCGTCCACAGGCCAAATCATGTAGTTTCCACCATGCCGGCTTCTCGCTTGAAACAATTCACGACGTACTGAGCATTTTTCAAGTATTATTTAGCGTCTAATATAAGTTCCAGGGCGCAAATTCCTAGAGACGTGAAGTCGGCATGTACGTGGAACGGATCCCAATTGAACCCAGCTTACCCGCGAGAAGAAGTGTTGTTGTCTCGTTTGTTCAGTTCGCCTTCAAAATCTGCCAAGAAGTCTGTTACTTCATTTAAAATTTTGTACGGGCTTAATTCTCTTTTGTCCATGAAACGCCCTAACCGATATAAGCTCCGGCCACCTGGAAAACAAGAAACCTGTATAGTACCAACAGCAATATTCCATCGGAAAGGACAACGCATAATATAAGGATATCTTTTATATTTTGATATGCAGTAAACAAATGCATAAAGTATTTGTAATTCATGGCACCGAAATTCGGCAGTTTTCGACAGAAAAGACGCTTATTACCGGGTAGCTGGAGGGAAAAAGTGGATTATAATCTTGTTTCTACATGTAGTAAGTTTACTTTCCCCTAAACGTGTTTCTCAGGGATCCCATATTTTGTGGGTCTTGAAGACAAATCCTTGGTTTGACAGCAAAACGTCTGTTCGTTCGTCCATCTGTCTTGTTATGCACGCTGGCGTTGAACGAAGAGATTTTAGTTTCTGTAAGTGTCTTGTATGTTTCCTGATTTTTTGGTTATATTTAGATGTCTGGTTGTAGGCGTCGTTGGAGCGTGTTATGCTTGTAGAAATTTTCCAATTTTGCCGGCGCTCACTCTTTAAAACCCTTTCAGTAGCTGCTTCGCCGCTGGCTACGCTCGGGCGGTCACTCACATGAAGGAGGAAGTATGGTTTTTTCGCCGACTTTTGGGGCCACATTGGGGAGGTGGAGACAGATTGGAGCCTGTATGTAACGAGACGGCGGTGCAGGCGAGATTGGCCGGAGCGCGAAGCGCCGAAGGGCATGGGGGGGCGGCGGCGGCGGCACGCTCCCACCCAGCCTTTCCCCCTCCTCGTTTCCCTCCTTCTCCTTCGCCCTCCCTTCGCACCTGCCCCTCCCCTTCGCCCGTCCCTCTCCTCCCCTCTTGCCGCCTTCCGCTCTCCGCACCGACCCGGCCTGGGTGCAGTTGCGCCCGGGAAGGGGTGGGGGTGGGGGTGCCGCCGCCGCCGCCCCCCATGCCCTTCGCGCTCGCGCTCGCCAATCGCGCCTGCACCGCCGTCTGTTACATACAGGCTCCATCTGTCTCACTCCAATTGGCCCAAAAGTCGGCGAAAAAACCATACTCCGCTTCATGTGATTGACCGCCCTGACGTAGCAGCTGGCGAGCAGCTACTGAAGGTGTTAAAAGAGTGAGCGCGAAAATGAAAATAAAAAATGAGAGTGTAAAACCGAGAGTCATTTTCATTCTCGTGCTCACACACACTCATTTTCATTTTCATTTTCTCGCGCTTGTGCTTCCTCACTCTCATTTTCATTCTCGTGAGTCTTTTTAAGTTTCTTTTTAAGATTTGAATTTTCAAAAAGTTTGAAGATATATTTTTCGAACCTCTCACAGTGTATTAGGTGTTTTCAAGTGATTGCTGAAGAGTTAGTAGAATATAATTTGCAATGTTATAATATTTCTTCCAATATGTGCTTCTTCGAATTTCGTATAATATGTGCATCCAATATGTGCTGTTGTACACTACTAGTTTTATTCGTGTTATTGGTCTCTAGTTCTCGTGCAGATAGTCTTTTTCAGAATCACATATCAGGCCACCTTCATATTGATTGATGATTTAGTGTTTCCTGGCGTGTTAACTGCTATGGTCATTAGTCTCGAAACTGTACGTAATATTTTATCACGGGATGTGGCGGTAATCCTCCCGCGCTTGAAGGTGAGATTTGGCGCCGACGTACCCTGTACATGAGCAGTGCACCAGCCAGGGGTCTCCCACCAGCGGGGCACCGCCTCGTTTGTTTTTGTGCAGCAGTGTAGTGCATGTAAATATATTTGCGTGTAAATTTGTAATGATTTTTGAGAGATAGACAGTCCATGATCCTATGTGGGATTTTATCACGTCACTTTCTGTTAAGAAATAAAACATACTTTAAAGTACACAGCCAAATAGAAGCTTAATGCACACTTGAGATATTGCTGCAGAATTGAGAGGGAAGTGGAATTTAAATTTTTATCTAAATCACTTTTTTAGAAAATTGTTGAAAATAGCATTCATTACACACGATAATCAAATCCAGGCCTCTTGGTTTTTGCCACGAAGTTTAACTACTAAGCTACCGTGACAACTAATGCTTTGAAACGATTTTTGAACCTGTAAATCCCCATGTGTTAGCTAGTGACATGATTTTTTTAAATAATCATACTTCCAGTAATTATAGACAGCACTGAATGTGTCTGCAAGAACTTTTAAACAATTTTGCCATTAATTATTTTTTTAAATTTTCTATTCTTTCAAATTGTCTGCATATTTCGAATAATATTAGAATTTTCTATTCAATATGTGCAATCCAAATAATCAGATGAAAGTAGGTCTTTGTTATACGGATTCGTTAGCAGAACACTTATCTCGTGTGCTGTGGTCAAACACGGATGGAGGGTACACTGGGGTCAGCAACCCGATCTCGAGTTAATAAAACTAAGTGCTAGCCAATATATCTATGTCGCTCTTATTGTTACGACAACGTATGGAGCACGTGCTTTTATTTGGCAACAGTATTCAGTTTCTAGCGTAGAGAGGCGCCTATGTAGAAGGAAATTACTGCAGGAGGATTACACAAAGTCTTTATTTTAACTTAAAAACACCAAAGAAAGTGTAAGTTAAAAGAACAGAAAATAAATATGTATTTAAATATTTAGTTTTTAACGTAAGGGGACAGTTAAAAACTGACGTATGATGACATCCGCAAGCTCGCAGGTTGCTGGATGCTTTCTAGAATATGAAAGATGAGCTGCATGTTCTGAACCAAAAGCATGATGAACAGTAAGTCCTAAGCCCCGAGTAAGAATTGGATGGAAAAGAAAAGATCAGTGTCCTACTTTTTAGAGACAAGGATCTAACAGGCATCCCCACTGGGAATTATAAAAGGTAACCAAGGAATGCGTTTTCAGTGCAGTAGGCACTTAGAAAATCATTCTACCACAATTTAATCCTCTGTCGAAAACCATCGGAACCATTGAGTCTACAATGTAAACATATCTACATTGGAATTGATGTACAAAACTTCAGGAACTACATCGCAGAAGCCCCCAGTCCTAGGAGCGATTTTCAGACAGAAGACTCTGCGAGAAGACACCGATTTTGAACAAACACGTAAAATATTTAATGAAAAAGAAAAGAAAAAAGGAAAAACGAAAAAAGGAAAAAAAGAAAAGAAAAACGAAAAAAGGAAAAAAAGAAAAGAAAAACGAAAAAAGGAAAAAAAGAAGAGAAAAACGAAAAAAGGAAAAAAAGAAAAACGAAAAAAGGAAAAAAAGAAAAACGAAAAAAGGAAAAAAAGAAAAAAGAAAAAAGGAAAAAAGAAAAAAAGGAAAAAAAGAAAAACGAAAAAAGGAAAAACCGAAAACACTGAAGACCTACCTTGCCGAACTTCTCAATGAGCGCTTTGTCCTCAGCTTTGCGCTCGGAGTTCGGGTAGAGGGCGGGCTGCGGATATTTCTCCTCGAGGAAGTCTGCGATGTCCAACGATTCTATTACGATCTTGTCGCCCGTGTCCAACACGGGTACTAGGCCCTTGGGGTGCATCTTGAACAGCCATTCGGGCTTGTCCTTGAGGTCCACAAACACCTCGTCGTAGTCCAGTCCCTTGGCGTTGAGCACTATGCGGATCCGCTGCACGTAGGGGCAGAAGCGCATCCCGTACAGGCGCAGTTTGTCCGCCTGCTTGGCAGGCTGCTCGCTCCCTGCAACACGCACAACCGAAGGGAAAAAACTTAGTGCTGCGCACGTGTGGAGACATTTGAAAATTGACCGCACGCAGCAGATCAGTGCGCGTTTTGGGCGCTCACCTCCTCTAACACGCAACACTCATCGTGCTGGATATTCGGATTGACATGAAATTTTGCCAGATTGTTCAGCACTTTTCAAAACCCATACTTACAAATTCGTAAGTGCTATTAAACATTGCAAGTAATGTTTTTGCGACAATTAGTATCGAGACCTTTCATAACCTTAGTGCCTGTCGAAGCGCGAAATTCGCCGCGCGCCGCCGGCTCTGCGGCAGTTTGTCATGTGCTGCGCCGCCGTCACTATCTGTCGGCAGGGTGTCAATTGCCTCGGCGGGCATGTAGTATGTAAGGTGACAAAAACGAGTGTTAACGTGGCAGGTTCACACAGGAAAGAAGGTCGAACACACGCATGAATAATCCAAATACAAATATTGCTCCCTTAATATGGATCCCTTAAACGATTACCTTAATATACGATAAATAAATAATAGATACACTTTACTTTCCGGTTAGACTCAAAATTTTCACAATAATGAGGTCTAAAAAAATTCAAAATAGAATGCGTCACAGATTGTCATAAGGTGCACCGTACATGATTTTCTTTTTCAGTTTCCTTTAGCATTGGTTTATGATATCCTTAAAACTGGTAGAATTATTAAGAACGCGGGTCACTCTGCACTTCAAACTAAAAAGAGACCAACGAATATGGCATTGGCCACCAGTCGTGAAAGAACGTTCCTGGCGCTGCAGATAGCACTAAATTTTGGATATGTGGATTTTGCATGGTGTTCTACCAGCTGGCGAAATTTCATGAGAATGTGAGTATCCAGCACGTCGAGTGATGGGTGAAAGAGGCATCCACCATGACGAAAGGTTCGAGGCGAGTCCCTAGAATAAGAGGGGGTCCGAGCGTTAGGAGGGAGTATATAGTTGGTAATCCAACTCGGGAAAAATAGAAATCTGATAGGGAAAGTGGTTAGAAAAGTATTTACTGCTTACGTTATAGGGTCTGGATTCTGTTAATCTATTACTGAGTGATGAGCTGTGCTGTAATTAGGAAGGAAGATAGGCTGCAAACACTTTTCTACGATGTGACTGTTGCACTACCTTGTAATGGTTTAGGTTAATCTGGGTTATGGTAAACAAATTTTCAATAAACTGTTTGTTGTTTATATTGACGTACCAGTCATCTCTGTATGCTTGAGTTAGGATACGGTCGGATTTTTAATTTCAAACTATTTATTGAATATTTGAGTCAGAATGACGATAATTGTAAAAAAAAATATGTAATTTCTTTTAAAAATGTATAGAGTTCCAAACTGTTATTGGCTCCCTTGAAATACATTCTGGAAAAATAATACGCTATAACAGAATGCTCATTTAACATTTTCCTCACTAGTACAAATGAAATATGTGGAGCGACAAACTCTTCCGCACCCTGTCATTTATACACGTCAAGTTCAATTGTGCCTTGCCAACAGATGTTAAGTACTTCAAGACTTCGTGTGCCAAATTCTAACATCATCTTCTCAACGCTAAAAATAACAAGCCACATACTCAAATCCATATATCCCTTCATGGAAAAAGAGAGGAGGTAAGTGAAATCTGATGGTGAGTATTTTACCGTTTTGAGAATATACTGTTACCTGCTTATAAGATCCGTACAAGTAATGTCTGATAACATTTGTAGTATGAAGATCTTGCAACACGGCATAGTACTCAATTGAAGTAAACATGTATGCAGGCTTGTTATCGCAAAACATACCCGCAAATTCTCTGAAGAATCTCATTCACCTATTGCACTACTTCACGATACAAATCGAAAAAAATAAATGCTATTGCGGCTTTGGACAAGTATTATGTCATTAATACGAATAAGAAACTAGCGAACGATACACCGAAGATCTTCAATGCGTGATTAATAACGTCATTCATGGTTGATTGTAGTATACACAAGCCAGAATATTACAATAATGTAGTAGGTCATCAAGATTCTACAACAATTAACGTGTAGTATGTTTATGACTGCAATAGAGCTTTAACGTAGAACAAGTGGCTGAGGTTATTGTTAAGTCTGTCTGAATGGCTGACACGAAAGATCGTGGATTTGATTTGAAAGACACGCAGCGGTTTGAGTCTTTAGCGCAAACAGTTAATGATGCCAAGGGAGATACTAATCCCATTAATGATATTTACGCTGAAAATATCAATTGCCACTTGGATAAATGTGTATGGGGAATAAAAAAAACAGGGAGCCATTTATTTATCAACGAGGAAATAAATGATATAGAGGGATGCAGTGCTAGAGGAAACCCAATCAACTTATCTAAAGAAGCACCTCGTGGCTCTTGTTATGAGAGTTATACCATTAACAGCAAAGAACCCAATATACGCCACACCGCAATAACATTACAATAGCTGCCAGTGCAATAGTTTTCAGCTGGTTAGCAAATTACATGTAATTTCACCTGATACGTTCATCTGCAAAAGATCCATATTGCGTTACCTTTTTATCTGGCCGATTTTTTTTTTTGCTCGCGTTCATATATCGTCACCACAGCGAACACCGGTACAGCATCACGGTAAAAATCCAAAGCCACAGCTCACGAGCGCCGCCCGCGAAAGACTTGATTGCGGAGATAAATCGCGAAACCGCCCTCGGTGCAATCCGCAACGCGACCCCCGCGGCGCGGCGGCCGCAGGAGAGCCCCCGGCGCGGAGGCGGGAGCAGGGGGTGCAACGCGACGAGGCGCCGGGAGCTCCCACCCGCCCCGCTCTGCACCGCTGCACCGCTTCCGCAGCGCCGCCCGGCGCACACGCCCAGTCGCATTGCGCGTCGCGGCCGCACGCGGCCGAGACAACGGAGAGAGAGAGAGAGAGAGAGGAGCAGAGACAACGGAGAGAGAGAGAGAGAGAGAGGAGCAGAGACAACGGAGAGAGAGAGAGAGAGGAGCCGAGACAACGGAGAGAGAGAGAGAGAGAGAGGAGCCGAGACAACGGAGAGAGAGAGAGAGGAGCCGAGACAACGGAGAGAGAGGAGCCGAGACAACGGAGAGAGAGGAGCCGAGACAACGGAGAGAGAGGAGGCCTCTTTTGCCAGCTTCCATAACGGAACGAGAGGCGGCGGCACATGCCGGGGACGTGATGGTGAAGAAAAGTACCGCAGTGCGAAAGGGACGACGTCGACGGCTTGACGAAAGAAATTACATCCGGCGAAGATTGATGAAATGAAGATGACGTGCCGCTTGTGCAACATATTTAAATGCGCGTTACGATCGGATCGGAATGCCCAGTAGTCGAGAACAGACAGAAAGAAGCGGGATGGGAGGAGGAAAAAACTAATAATTTTGGTGAAAAGTATATAGAGAAAGGAAAGCGTAAAAAATCATCGAAAAGCCCTGTATCTATTGAATGAAGAACTGAGTTTTTCAATGAAATGCAGAATTAAAGAGATGTACTGCGTGGCAGTAAATATTTTAAGAGATACAGTCTTCATTTGGAATATTTTCATTACACGTTTACTCTTAAACATTAAAAATGATTAGTTCGAATAAATTCAATTTATTCTAGAGAGATATTTAAGCTTTGAATCAATTTAAAGGGGAACGAGGAAGGCTTTATCACTTCACATTCATTCACTTTCAACAATGGAAAATAAATTTATACATATTTAAGGAAATAAGAATTCTGTTGCAGCTCACAAGCTCTGGGGTACATTACCTCGTAAATATCGATAAATTAGATTTATATTAAATTTTAATATTTTAATTTATTTATCAAATAAGCTGTTGTTTGTCAAGATTTTCTTGCGTTAGTTGTCATAATCATTTCGAAAACACTGAAAAAATATCTCTTGAAAACAAAACCGCATATAAAAGTGATATTAAAAAATAGACGATGCACCGAACACAAAACAAAGACGGGCCGCGTGTGGAAAATCTCAGGAGACGCAGACCAGAAAACGTGTAAGGGGGTACCAGTTAGGGTCGGGGGCGAAGTCTGCTTCCGCGCCTGGAGGGGTGCAGGGCGAAGGGGAGCCTCGTGGGTGAGGTCGTAAGTGAGGGCAAGGGCGAAGGGGAGGCGCGACATTGACCCTGTCGCGTGCAGCCGCTGCGCACCCACGGTGGAATATCGATTCAAGCTGGTTAAGGTTACGCTCGCCCACAACGCGCCCCGCCACCATTGCCTTTCGCCGACCAGAGACTAATAATCACCGGCTCAAGGCATCAACGGATGTCATCCTTCCATGCCCCTGTCCGGGAGGCAGTAGGGTTTGAGAGATGGTGGTAGGATTTTCGTCTAGTTAGATAGCTAGGTCGAATTATACCGGCCGGGTACTCTAATCGGTTATTTTCTGTGATTTCTGCGATCAATACCAGGCGAACGCCGAAACAGTATCTTAATAAACGGGCCACGCGACCTTTCCTTCCTTTTTCTTCTTCTATCCTCAGCCCTGACTTACACGTTTGCGAGAACTACACTACCACACATTTCGGGAGACCAATCGGGAGTAAAGGAGTTTGGGGAGCTCAGAGTTTGTCACTGTTGAGACGATGTCCCGCTGGTGAGTGATACATGAATGAGGAATACCTCGTAATACGACGTGGTGTTCGGCGGTGCATTTCACCATCCAGCGAGGGAAAGACACCGCCACCCCCATGATAAGTATTCATTACCCCTACGGGACTCTTCGCCGTAGCAGCTGACGTGCCCGGAAACACGAAATAATCAATCAAAATTAATAAGTGCTAATCTCATTCTAACCTTTGAACTTTTTCTGGTACTATTCTCATTCACGAAAAATATTTAAGTTGTTTCTCGTCTTCTGCAACTGCAAACAGCCGACCTCTGGGGCGTAGAGATTTGACACTACAACGCGGAGCCAAAGGTTGCATGCGATGTCCACATAAGTCTTGCGTGTTTTTAGCAAGCGATGTATCCTTGCTGCTCATAGC